TTTAACGAAAGCTTCTTACATAGTTTTCAAGATGAGAAATTAACGGTACATTTTAACAGAGTTTAACGAAAGCTTCTTACATAGTTTTCAAGATGAGAAATTAATGGTACATTTTAACAGAGTTTAACGAAAGCTTCTTACATAGTTTTCAAGATGAGAAATTAACGGTACATTTTAACAGAGTTTAACGAAAGTTTCTTACATAGTTTTCAATATGAGAAATTAACGGTACATTTCAACAGAGTTTAACGAAAGCTTCTTACATAGTTTTCAAGATGAGAAATTAACGGTACATTTCAACAGAATTTAATGAAAGCTTCTTACATAGTTTTCAAGATGAGAAATTAATGCCCACATTGCAGTTGCCGATGCTTCCAGCTCTGCAGAAAAAGCAGCGTAGTAGGTATTGGGTTCAAACTCTACGTGAGCCGAAAGTTCTCGCTGATTGACGTTCATACCTTCAACAGAAAGAAACACTAGTATCACTTAACATATGAGAACTTTTCAACAACATCAAAGCTAAAAAGAAATTAAAACCATTTTTTTTTCCTTCAGTTGAAGCTTTGTTTTGCATTTTAGTAGCTAATTCGTTAATTTTAATTCCACAAACAACATTTCAGTAATAAGACTACAAAAAATAATCCAACAGTTTTTATGTCTCTATGTCAGTTTAGATTGTGTAAAATTAAAGAATCTTCCATAAATCTCAGAAATGTGATAAATATCAATATCTTGTATACCCAGCATACAAAAATATGATTTGTCTTTGTCAAAGCACTCGTCGTTGCTCAATTAATAAGTAAACATCTTTTATCAACTAATATCTTTATTAAATATTCAAAATTTATGAATATCCTACACCAAACTTGCATTGTACAGCAGATGTTTCACTGTTTAAAGTTACTTACCCTGAAACATTGACAAAAAAGAAAACCAAATCTCTAGTAATGATTGATCTTTCAAAAACTCCAGGGCCACTGGACGATGAGTCAGCACATTGTTAAGATCACTGACTACTGGCCAATAACAATGATCTTTCATAACTCGATTACCGCAGTTAACAACAAAATGAAAATTTTTTTCTGTATCTGAAAATATTTAAAGAAATACATCTTATTAAGTATCCAGCTCCAATTATAAAGTTTTATACAGAATGGTGGTTACAGATTAATGATTAAGTTAACATTACACGTCAACACTATCTTTAATTAAAACTTAAACAATGTTATACAATTATTGTTTTATTGTAATACTTTCTACTACGTTTGACATTTAAATCAAGTCACTTTCTGTAATCTAAGAGTATTAAAAAAATGTTTCATATATAAATAAATAAACACAGGTTGAAGTTAAATTTCTTTTTGTATTTCACCCTTTTTTTAGTTTCCTTCCTAAATCTAATTTAGAACTTCTGTTTTTTCTAAGTTTGATTCTTTCCTGTGCTTTTTTTGGGTGTTCTGCTCATGTCTGTGGATGACTAATAATCTGATTACCTGATCGAGGTTTGAGGAAGCAAGTGAATACAATACATGAAGCAATGATTTTACAAACAATTTAACTCCTAATAAATGAGAATAAATTTGTTCTCTAAATATTTTTGAATCATCTATCTTACCTACCTACAAGCTATTTTAGAGTCAGGTCTATATTTTGTAAATGGTAATTTGATGAATATTAAACCATTGATAATTTGTAGTATGAGCTTGATGTGTTTAAGACTAAATAAATTGCTTCAAACAGCAATAGCATTTCTGTAACCTATTTACAGGTTGGTTAGAAAGCCAGATAAATTACAGTAGTTTTGGGACATTCTATTCTAGTGTCGATATACATTTTTATGTTTATAGTAATTTAAATAAAATGTTTTTTAATTGTGTACCAGCTTAACATTGAATATTATTTATGATTTTACATTTTTATGTGTTCTAAAATGAATATTTGAAAGCTATATGAAGTACTGACAATCAACAAAGGGGGAAAAAATAGGGTTACTAAATCGTGCATAAAAAATTTTGACTTTTTGTGTACAAAAGACTCGTAATGTTTACTAAAAATTTCATGGTGATCATAAAATCATTCAATATGGCCAAACCTATATATAGTTCTTTTCTAGGAATTTGTAATTCAAGAACTAATCAAATTACATAGTAGAAATATCTGTTTATCTCCAAATATTTTAAAGTGATTAAAATTGACTATTTATTGTTTTGACTACATAATGTATATATTATAAAACATAAATTTCTATGAAGTTTTCTTAAAAGGTAATGTAAAAATAATGATTTTTATTATTTAATTATTATTTTAAGTAGATTTGTTGGAGTCTAATTGAAGTGAAAAGTTTTGCTGTGAAGACAACTGGCATATGGTAACTTTGATTATAAATAAATATAAACCCATGTTCTCTATGAAGTAACAAAGTTTGTGACTTGGACTATGAAAGCTAACATTATTTTCAAAGCCAAGGTGTCAGTTTCACAAAATTAAATAGAAGCATTATGCAAAAATGTACACCCATACTCAATTAAACTTAAAAGTATTTCATTATATAAATAAAACAATATTCAATATATTCTACAAACTAAACGAACCTTGCAAAGTATTCTGGATCAAAATTTTCATCATCATAGCCTTTAAGCTAATCACCATTACATGTAGTAACTTGAAGTTTTTTGTCATTCTGAAAGCCAGAGCTTCATTACTAAACAGCTGAACACTGACATGTACAACCCTATTAGATAGAGTATCAGAATCTGAAGAATGAGCCAACATCACACTAATGCGACTGTAATGATGAACAAAAGTCTGGGTAAATGCCTCCTGAAAAATTTAAAAGAAATTAAACTAACTGGAAATCAATCGAACAAAAAAAGAAAAGTTTCATTTCAATTCGAACTAATGGAGCAATACATTATATATAGAATTATACTTTACTATAAAAAAAAAAACTTATTTAAATATGATGAATAATACTAAAATTATTTCATAACTTAGTAACAGTAATTACAGAATTGTGTTTCTAGAAAAAAGTAATTATCTAACACAAAATTATGTTTATGTTTCAGTAGAGAATGTACAATTTGTACTTTGTTACTACTTTCATACAGGTTAGGTTAAAATTTACTGTCTGATCTTATTCTGGATATTACATTATAGCACGGTTTACAAACAAACTACATGTTTCTCTATTGTTGCATATATGGACCTTATTTACTGTCTGATCTTATACTGGAGATTACATTATAGCACGGTTTACAAACAAACTACATGTGTCTCTATTGTTGGATATATGGACCTTATTTACTGTCTGATCTTATACTGGAGATTACATTATAGCATGGTTTACAAACAAACTACATGTTTCTCTATTGTTGGATATATGGACCTTATTTACTGTCTGATCTTATTCTGGAGATTACATTATAGCATGGTTTACAAACAAACTACATGTTTCTCTATTGTTGGATATATGGACCTTATTTACTGTCTGATCTTATTCTGGACATTACATTATAGCACGGTTTACAAACAAACTACATGTTTCTCTATTGGACCTTATACAAAGTTATTCTTCTGTAAAAGGCTTCACTCATTCAAGTTAAATTCCAATTCATAACAGTGTTCATAAAAGACAATAGAAACAAAAAAAATGTTGAACTGCACTAGAATA